GGTCTTATTTTCGGAGTAGGTCTTATATTTTAGCAATTCCCACAAATAGTACTAGGTCTTATTTTCGGGGTAGGTCTTATTTTCAGGGAAACAGGGTAGGAGTCACCTTTCATAGTTCTGCCTACATCAAAGTGCTGAAGGCTGATTTCTGCATAGTTTCAGACATAGTTTACATTTGCATCATATGTTACATAATCCATTAGCCAAAGCTAATGTACATTTTAGATAGTTTTGTCAAAATGATTTCTAGGCGAGTAATCTGAACCATGCTCGACCTACCTGGGGTATAGGCTGTTAGTCAGGACAGGAAGTCCACAATATTGCCACTGACAGTAGCACAAAACATTCCGAGTGGGGTAGTGTTAGAATTTTCAGATGTATGATGGGCGCCAGAGGGGACACATTTAAAACCAACAGAGGTTCTAATCCTTGCCTATTCTATTCAAAACTAGAAAACATTTTGGCTTAACAATGAAAAGATGAGGGAGCACCAGAAAACAGTCCTTATGCTTTACAATCATCATTTCTAAAAGAAGCATAACTGTATGACCAGACTGTGATCAGACAAGCCAAGCGCCAACATTATTCTGAATTAGTCTACTGCAAAAATCTAACATAGTCAACCAAATATTCCCATGATAGTGATGAGCCATGGGCATCGGCTGCCTGCCATACTAGTTTTTGCCCAATCTGGCCACAAAGGCCTAGACTGGATAAAAGTAATCATGTCTATAGATTACGTGTCTTACATAGGCTACGTTCCCAAAGCCATCAGCTACCCATTTCTACTATTTCTTTACAAAAAAAGTGGAAAGACACTGTGGATAGTAGATCATAGTTCTACTGTATATGTAAGCAGTGCTCTCTATTTCCAAAAAGTCATCATGGTGCAAGTTTACCAGATACCTATTGCTGTCATTTCATTCAACATTGTGTGAATCCTTTACAATTGCTCTCAATGCAAATGTTACTGCTTGTGTCATATCACTCTCATCTTTCCCAATTTTTTAAATAAAAATATAATGGGGAGACACAGGGATGGCTGACAGCCATCATTAGGCCTCATTCACACGAGAAACGGCCGGCACGTACAGCTCTGTGCTGCATGCATGGCCGTATCGGGCTGCTCCCGGGTACGACAGGTGCTGCGTGTGATTAGTACGCAGCCTGTGTCCTTCTCTATGGGGGTACGCGGCCGTACACCGCCCTACAATCACCCACCCTGCACGTCCGTGCGGGTGTAGGTACTCGAACGCTGACAGGATGGATCCTGTCTGCGTCCGAGACGGGACACCCACACCGGTACGGACCTGTTCATGAGTGAGCATAGGGCAGCATATGTCCTCGTACTCTCATAGAGAAGGACAGGGGCTGCGTTCTAATCACACGCAGCACCTGTCCTTCCCGGGAGCTGACCGATACGGCCATGCACGCAGCATTGAGCTGTACGTGCCAGGTTTTTTCTTGTGTAAATGAGGCCTTATACTGCCACTGTGAATCCACCTGTATACCTTGGCACATAGCATGGAATTAAATAGTGGAGTCACATCAAATAAATAATTACAGTAATGATTTAAAGAAGTGTACCAAATACCTTCTGAAAAAAGATTTTAAATCCCAGCTTATCACTGCTCTCATTGGCTGGGGGTGTGTTCCTAGTGGCAGCACCTTATCTATGCCGCTCAGAACACGGGCATGTGTGGACCATGATTAATGCAGCAAGTTTAACACAGGAAGTGATGCTATGTGGAAGATTATAAAAGGATCACCAGGTATTTACTCTGTATTCCTGATCACAGTAAACAGAAAGCCTGCAATATTATCGTAACCAAAGCCAGATCATCCACAAGGCAACCTGGGCGGGCTTAGGTCCGTAGGATGCCCTGGGGGCCCAGCTACAAACATCAATCTTCTGTAGTAAACCAGGGGGATAGAGCACTTGTATGCAGATGGTGTCTGAAGTACAAGCAAAGCAAACGGGGCGACTTCTCTGTGCTTATCGCCCCCTCCTGACTCTTGTCAGTGTCATTTGAAGGGATGAGGAGGGGGCAAAGATGCTACCTTGCCTAAGGCTGCATCTATTTTAATCCATCTCTGATTGTTACCTGGGACAGAGGAATGTATTGTTTAGGTTTATATAAACTTTAAAGTGAAAGTGCCAGGCCAATAAAAATGTGGATGGCGCCCGCAGTTACATCTGGACATGTTTACCTATAAACTTGGTAATAGGTGATCCATTTGTTCAGGGAGGGGTTACATGTCATCAATTTCCTTATGAAATTGAAAGAATCAGTATAGGACTGAAATGTTGCATTTGTTCATCATAACAAAATAAAAGGCTTTTAACATTGGCATGCTGGTGACATCCATACTTCCTTGGAACTTAGAGTAACGGCAACATCCGTTTCTCTGGTTGCTTCAGTACCCACTATCTTCAAGTCTTTACACTGTAGAACGTGCATCAGATAGTTTTTCATTTTGTGCCCATTAACTCTTTCTCAACTTTCTAGCTAAGAAGATGTGGCTTTCTGATGTTATGATACTCAAAGGACAGAATAAAGATGAACAGCAACATCATTCTGTTACAGTAACAAAATTCTGTCAAGAAGCTTTGTGGTTTGGACTCCATTTATCTTTATGGTAAACTGGTAAATCACCACTGGATGCTGCTGTGGAGTGACATTGCCTAACTCTAGAATGAGATCCTAATAGGTTGGACTTGATGGACTAATGTCTTTATTCAACCTCAAATACTATGTAACTATGTCTTCCTTCCTGTTCTCTTTTGTACAAAATTACATTACTGATGCAAACATTTTTCCTTTATATGCTTTGCATTCTTTTTAAGCTTATTACTTTTTACTTAAAAAGACATCTTAATAATAAAATGTAATTAAAAACAGCTTTGAAAACACATGTAATATTTACCAGAAGCGCTTTCTTTAAATCGAATGTTCATTGTTTTTCAAATTAGAGCTGTTGCTTAACCCCTTCATGACTGAGGCCCTTTTTTCATTCTTTGCACCCATGATATATTCCACATTTTAGGCTGGGGCGGCCCCTTCTTCGGGACGCAGAAGCGATCTGGCGACAGGTAAGTCGCCAGGATCGCTTCTGTTGTAAAGCCGACAGTCGGCTCTACAAGTTTAAACAGACTCCCGGCGGCAAAAGTCGCCGGGAGTCTGTTTAAACAGCCCCGATGCTGGCGACGTACACTGTACGTCGTCAGTCACGAAGGGGTTAAATCCTGAACAACGCTCCCGGGAGTGCCGAATACCTGCATCTCTTTGCTGTTCCTATTCCCCAGCCACTATGTCACTATTGTGTCCCTTCAGAGCTGCAGAGACATGCTAATAGTGTAGCAGTCAGGTAGGGGTTCAACACTCGACACCTCTGACTGTGTTGGATGCCTGCCTCTTCCCACTTTCCTCTGTGGCCCCCGCCATAAAGAAAAAAGGGGAAACAAAGGCATCCAACACACCTGAAACTGGTAAATGTTGAAGATTCTAGCAGTGCCTCCAAGTCTGTAAGGGCCAGTTCACACCACAAAGTCTGCGTTCCAGAGCGAATGTGTAAGCAACCCTGTTATATTGTGCTACAAGGTAGGGGTCTGTAGAATGGTCACAGTTGAATGTACTATATGAAACCCAGTAAAACCATGCTCAAAAATTATATATTTTTTTGCATGATCTTGATGTCATGTCTCTCCTTTGGGAACATTCTGATGCTCATAAATTCAGAGCACACCACTGCCTCCAACATGGCAATTCTTAGGCATGGCAAGAGGTCACATAAGCAAGAAGCATTGTGGCAGGTAGTGTCAGAACAACAGATAGTCTATCAGTAAGTACATAGAAGTTTTGGTTGTTATTGGCTGCTCCGCTGGAGCCAGGGATAAAATAGAATATACAATCTGGCAATTTATGGTGCCCCCCTCCTACAAAACTGTTATCTTTTGAATTACTAGATTTCATACATAATTCCCTAGGAGGCTGCAAAAGACTGTCAGGCTGTCAGGTTTTAGGAAATACCATAAAAGGAAGGTCAGTTCAGGGTGTGAGTATTTTTCCTTTTCAAAGTTGTTTCACGGTTTTGTTTTAATCAACTTCTGGGAAGATGCATGAGAGGCCTTTTAGAAAATAAGAGTGCAGGTCCAGGTTTTTCACCGATACCAGTGAGAGACCTGTCATAAAATTAGAGTGCAGGTCCATGTTTTTATTTACCAATATCTGAGAGAGAGACCTGTCATAAAATAAGAGTTCAGTTCCATGCGTTTTTACTAACATTATCATACAGGATTTATATAGCGCCAACAGTTTGCGCAGCGCTTTACAATATAAGGAAGACATTACAATCACAATACAATTCAAGACAAGATGGTAACATCTGAAAGACCTGTCAAAATAAGAGTGCAGATCCATGTTTTTATTTACCAATATCTGGGAGAGACCGGTCATGAAATAAGAGTGCAGATCCATGTTTTTATTTACCAATATATGAGAGAGACCGGTCATGAAATAAGAGTGCAGATCCATGTTTTTACCAATATCTGGGGGAGACCTATTATAAAATAAGAGTGCAGGTCCATGTTTTTATTTACTAATATCTGCGAGACTTGTCATGAAATAAGAGTGCAGGTTCATGTATCAGTGAACAGTCCTCCATGATAACAGACGGATGGATTACAATCCAGCAGATGAATTCAGCATTCGAAGTTGTCAAGGTCTCTCAGCAGGAAAAGCACATGGTACACGTGTATGTACACACTCACGGCCGTTGCCATGGCGACTGGCTTCCTAGATGCCAGAATCCCGTATACTGAACCTGTCCCACAATGCATGGCGAGAGGACGCGCTGGAGCTCGCTGATTGGTCGATCTTATTGCGTGAAGGTGACTTGATACTCTTGACATTTCCGCTTTCTGTAGCAGCGGAGAGACGACTCTGAGGTGAACTGTCAACAATTTGATTTGTAACGAGCGGTAAAATCTCGGACACGGCAATTCTACCCGGAAGCTCCATTAACTTCCGTCACCCTGCAACCGGACCAACCGGTTTCCCCGGCTCAGACAAACTTTTTACTTTGGTCCCGCCTTGGAATCCAGCGTTTACTCTGGATTGGACACGTTTGCTATGTAATATTCGTAGCCCAACCTGCGCTGTCTTTTCTGACCAATCAGGAACCCGAGAAAGACAGCGAGTCACGATAGGCGCAATGAGTGTTTGAAGCCCGGCAGCATCATGTTTGGTTGTCGCTTTGGAGAGAGTGAATGAAATGTGCGGGCTGCTGGTGGCAGCGGAGTGCGGGTTAGCCGCCTGGGTCCGGTGAAGGGGGAAGCTGCAGGGAGACGGGGCCGCGCTGCAAGTGTCCAGTTTTCTCGTTACTCCAGGGTCAGGTGTGGGGTGTCACCCGGAAACATGCCCGGTCCGCTGACATGGGGCCCAATGGCCGCTCTGCTCTTCTGTTCGCTCGCTGCGCTCATAGCACAAGGAGCCGGGCTGGAGGACAATGTAATCTGGGCTGTCAACGCCGGGGGCGATGCTCATGTAGACGTGCACGGTATCCATTTCCGGAAGGACCCGCTGGAGGGCAGAGTAGGCAGAGGTGAGTGACTGATGACAGCCGCGGGGGGGGGAGGGTGATCACCGCAGGGCTCTAGGGAGCCTAGATCCACGTTTTTAGGGGCATCCCCGGTCAGCCTTCTCCATATGGGACACACGTTGACAGCTATAGTGACAGGTCTTCACAAGCACTCTGCTTGGATTGTAAATGAAAGAAATGTGTAAAAGACCAAAGTAATCAATTTCAGACCCTTCAATAAAGCTCTTTCCCCTGCCCCAATGAATTTTCTAATACAATGCAAAACAGGAACCGTGCTTTATAATGGAAGAGGAAGTACATCAGTGGAATAAGCTCAAGCGTTCAATGCATGGAGCAAACCCTTATTCTTAAGTGGTCATGTTTCCTGATTGTCTCCGGCATGGTGCGTCTGGTGGATAAACCAGTCTCCCATGATGCCGGCTATAGTGTCAGGAATGTGAATCTCTTCTGATACTGATGTCTTTTGTGTGATCTCCAAGTGTGAAATATCTTCTTTTTTTTTTTCTCTCCCTTTGTTGTTTAGCATCAGACTATGGATTGAAATTGCCCATTTTACGGTCCAATCCTGAAGATCAGATTCTGTACCAGACCGAGCGCTATAATGAGGACAGCTTTGGGTACGAGATCCCCATAAGGGAAGAAGGAGAATACGTCTTAGTGTTAAAATTTGCAGAGGTCTATTTTGCACAGTCCCAGCAGAAGGTAAGCGTGTCTTGTTCCATGATTGTCCCCTCCTACAACTGGAATCTCATGAGAGCCCAGCAGATGGCATGTCTGTCTTGTGCAGGTGTGCGACACTTCGGTAACAGCTCATATTTCTGCATTTTGTTACCCTCAGGTGTTCGATGTGCGTGTGAATGGCCATACTGTGGTAAAAGACCTGGATATATTTGACCGTGTGGGACACAGTACGGCGCATGATGAAATCATACCAATTGTCATCAGGAAGGGTAAACTGAGCGTACAAGGGGAAGTCTCCACCTTTACTGGGAAGCTTAATGTTGAGTTTGTAAAGGTAAAGGCTCATATTGACTTCTTTTTTTAGCTGATCGGTTCACAGATAAGGAGCATTTATCATATGTTAGAAGAGATAGGAGTGCTTTGTCAATAAAACGAACATATAACACAGCCCTATTCATTTTAAAAAGCTCAGTGCACTTTCAATTTTGCAGCCAAATCTGAGAAAACTCCTGTATATTGTTTGTGTTCCTATTCAAACAGCATAACGAG